CTCCTAGTATGTCTTGTTTAAGTTCAAAAAGGATATAATGTGTCCTCACTCATACTTTTTGCTACAAAATAAGATTTTATCAGGTCATTAATTAAAATAAGCAACTAGCTTTTGTTGAGCAACTACTATGTGCCAGACACTGTGACCCCCTTATATATTCTCCTTAACTTGTATCCTCAAAGCAATTAATTTTTTCCTCCAAAAAGGAACTACTGTTTTACCAAGTTATTATTAATAATAACACAATACATGCACACCTTCTCAATTATGTTTTTAAAAGATGTGGGGACTCTGATCCTACCTACACCATACCCAGTCTGAAATCGTTATTAATAAAATGAGCTAAAAGATCATTTAATTTACCTACAGGGGAAAACTTGTTCATCTCAGTCCCTGATCTAAGCTTCCAAAACACACCCCTTTTGAGGCATCTTCAGCTCAGGAAATGCCTCTTTCATTCCTCTTCTTCCAGCTAAAATCTTAGTCATCTTGTTTCTTCTGTCTCACCCACATCTGTCCACTCTACTGTCAAAATGGAACCTAAAATCCCATCACTTCTCATCAAGTCTATTATCACCTCCTTAGTGGAAAGTTTCTCCCTCGTCTGGATTAACACTATATTAGGCATCCAACCAGTGTCCCTGCCTCGACCTTTTGTCCCACTATAGTCTATTCCCAATCCAGCAGCCACAATGATCTTTTAAATCATTACAGGATTTTAAATCACTGACATCAAATCGTGTCACTTTTTATTTAGTTCCGAACCTAACGGTTTCATCTCACTAAGATCACAACCCCAGGAGCCTGCCGTGAAGTTGCATGAGATCTGGCCCGCAGAACCTCTAAATCTCTCCTCCCATTCTCTCCCTGGCCCGCTCTGATACAGCCACGCGGGCGCTGTGCCGGTCTCTGCACTCGCTCTTCCTCCCCCACTTCCCTCCAGCCTCTACACAAATGTTCTCCATGGCGTTTTCCTAGACCACCTAATTTTAAATTGCACATCTGCCCAAAACACTCCCCGACTCCCTCCCCCTAGTTTACCCTCCATCTGTTTATCCATCTCCACTGAGGCACGGATTTTTGCCAATCTTGTTTAGTGCAATATCCACAGTGTCCAGCACACAGCAGCCCCTCAAATATTTCACGAATACTAGTAAATCACTAAATGAGAATACAGAATCATAACTTTAAAAAAAGTAACAAGTACATAAGAACATTCTTGCCAAGCAAGATGCATTCTAAGTAAACTATACTCTTGAAGCTGCAGTGAAAAAAAAAGCTTTTGAGTTGTTACCTTCTTTCATAATAAAATTTCAGTTTTATTAACTGTCTTTAAAAGAAAAAGCAAATAAGAGTTTTCTTCATCTTGGCTGATTAGGTTGCTAGGAGAATCCTAAGCATGACTTGATAACTGGTAACTTGATAACTGGTAACCTCCAGTGAAAAGTGGAAGCTACAGACACTTGCTCCTTGCTGCACGTGGTCCCCACTGTGGACCCCCAGCACTTACACGACCTGGGGATGGTTAGAAATGCAAACCCTCAGACGTTCCACCTTGACCTGCTGGATCTCCAGGCAATTCATACATGCATTTTGTATTACTCTACACAACCTCCATAAACTATCTCATAAACTACCTCAACCTTAAAAAAAAAATCCTCACCCTTGGAGAGGCAGGCCGAGAATGAAACAAACTCAATTTTCCAAAGTCAGTACAGAAACATTGCCTACGTTATCTAAATTTACTGTATCTAAATCCTTACTAATTTTTACAGTTTGGGGGCTTAGTCAAAACAATGAGGCCTCTGGATATAATTAAAACACCAAATTTTACTCATGATAAACTCCCAACATAAAAACATAAGCAGTATATGAATCTCTTGTTCATATACTTTGGCATGACGGGGTCAGAAGATTAAAGTACTTCAAAGATCTCAGAGAGAAGGTAATTCAAATGTTGCCCTAGAAGTGATAGGAGCTGGAAGACAGATGTTGCCCTAGAAGATGGCAGGAGCCTGGGGCTGGCACAGCTTATCCTACATAACCGAGCAAGTCCTCAGGCCCACAGCCAGAAGAATAGGTGAGTGTTTGCTGTATAAATGAACGAATCCTGGCTGTGGCTAGAAAATAAAGAACAGGCCAGGGCAACCTAACAATGCACTAACTCAAGCATTTGGTGCTGAACTACAGGTTGACCCAAGTCCTATGAATATACCTGAAATAATTCCCAGAGAGGTATCTGAGCCATCATCCTAAAACCAACTAAGTCAGGGCAGTGTATCTAATCTATCTATTTGGGGAGGGAGGCAGGGAATAAGCAATCTATTATTTAACTGCCAATTTCAGTGATGAGTATGCCTGAAGCAATTAGAAGGGAAATGCTTTTATTTGGACTTTGCGCTACACGACTTAGTGGGCATGACATTTCTGTATGACATTTTTGCAAGGGCAACACCCACTGCATGTATCAAACTGTGTTTATAATAATATTCACAACAGCACATTTTCCCTGGAACATGTGGGATATAGCCTGAAACATTCTGGGCAGAAAATGAAGAGCCTGGAGGCGACAGTTCAACTCTCCTTGGCGGCCCAGGATTAATGTATAAGGATCCTTAAAACTTGGAATACCCATATCCCTAAAAATACTACAAAACAAAATTCCCTATTAGAAGGACTTAAGACTAAGTAGAGGTAGTATTTTAGTACTGGGTATTTGAAACCAAGGAAGTGAAGAGGTCCTGAGAGATCAACACAAAAGTCTCAAGAAACAACAAAAGCACAGAGTGGGGCTAAGTCAACAAAGGATATGCAATGCTAACAGGGCTCTATATATCTGACCACTTTTGCCATATAAGCGAACTTCTCCTTCTTTTGTTTTACTGTAGATTATCTATGTAGTCCAAGTATTACGGCAGAAAGTGCAATAGGCGAAGGAGAACTGAGCTTCAATCAGCGTGATAGGTGGAGCCCGTGATGATTTTTTCCTTCAACACAGGTGTAAATGTATGTCTAGATGTGTCTGACCCAAAAGGGCTGTGCACTGATTATGCAGGGCAAGCCCACGCTCCTCTGTGTGGACATACATGACATTACACACAGTCACAGACTAGATAACTGACGGCATCGTGCAAAGTAGCTGAGTGCTACCTGAACTGCAATGAAGTCCATCTTTATAAATATTTAAACTACTCACAAAAGAAATCTGCTTGAATTACCAAAGATAACTTTAAAAAAAATCCTGATAACAACAAGTTTAACTGGACATTCTTTACTTCTACCTCTGAAGTCAATCAAAAGGCAATTTTTTTTAAAGCTTTATTTTTTTTAATTAATTTATTTTTGGCTGCGTTGGGTGTTCGTTTCTGCGCGAGGGCTTTCTCTAGTTGTGGCAAGTGGGGGCCACTCTTCATCACGGTACGCGGGCCCCTCACTATCGCGGCCTCTCTTGTTGAGGAGCACGCGCAGGCTCAGTAGTTGTGGCTCACAGGCCCAGCTGCTCCATGGCATGTGGGATCCTCCCAGACCAGGGCCTGAACCCGTGTCCCCTGCATTAGCAGGCAGATTCTCAACGACTGCGCCACCAAGGAAGCCCCAAAAGGCAATTTTTGACAAAGTTTCCCAAGCAAGATCAGAATTAATACTCCTATTTCTTTATGAATAAGAAACAAGACAAAAATCCCCTTCAAGGAGACCACATTTCCTGCATTCTTAACAAGGAATCAATCTGGGAACCTCTAAAATTAAAAGGTTCAATTTAACAGTATGAGAGAACAATTTCACCCTACAATAAGACCCTGATGATCCAGGATTTTAACCAATTTGACTGGGGGGAAAAAACAATGTACAGTGGGTAATACATTCATTAAAAGTTACTTAACCCTTCCTTGATCCCTCAGGGCTGTCAAAGTGAATGCCATTTCCTCTGTTGGGCTGTGACACCCTGCGACAATAAGGGCCACCAAATCTATTTTAACTAAATGGCCCCACACAGCTCCCTTTTTACAGTTCTCTCTCAACTTCATATTTCTTCCAGCTCCTAATACCTAATAATTCTCTCACTATATCCACCTGAACAAGCCACCAACCTGTCAAGAGTCTGGAAAAAGATAACCAAACTTGTTAGACAATCTGCAAAGCAGGAGGCAACGGGCCCTTCGGGCGGTGACGCAGGATGACTGGTGACGCTCTCTGCAGCACCACCCCCACCCCACTTCTAGGCGCTGCTCTGAGCAGATAAGGCTGCCTAGCAATCGAGCGTTACTGTGTATTAGAAATGCAAGGCTGCGGCTGCTGAATCTCAAAAACAGAATGAAATGCCTGACACACCTACTTCCGTGGAGAGTCAAGGCCACCACCTCCACTATCAGCCGGCATGTGCTTGCAAAAGGAAAAGCTTTTCCTTGAAAAGCAAAAGCAATACTTACCTTAAAACTTAACGTATTAAAGAAAACAAAGACTACATTCCAAAGTCCAATATAATTTTTAAGAATATTATCAATGCCATTATTCCCTGGCTCAAAGTACCAATCTATTAAAGCTGGGGTTTTCAAAGTCATCTACAAAATTTTCCCCCACTGGGAATGACTTTAATGAGGGTCAACTCAACTCAATAACATTAGAAAATATCGAACACTTAGGTTTTCTAACCACCCGGGGTTATTTAGGCATAAGGCAACAAACCCAACACAGTAAAAGGAAGGCTAGAGGCTGCTCATTGAGGTGCTTGGGGAGCAGGGCACTGAGGGAGGTGGAAACCGAGTACAGTGGGAGCAGGTATGAGTAGCTTCTTTGTACCCTTACGTCATCCCAAGCAGGAATTGGAAGTTGACTAGACAAATTAGCAAGAGTACGGTGGGCACTGACCTCTTTTACTGGTAAGAAACATGAGCTTGGCCTACAATTATCAGGACAAGTGGAAGATGTCTCACATCTTTCTGAATAGACGGGCAAAGGCCAAGAGCACCGAAATCACAGAAATGTAACCTTGTAGAACCTACTAGATCTACCGTGTTCCTCTTGTTAGTTTCTCCTAAGGAGCTTGTGCAGAACGTCTCCCATCGCTCCCTGACTTCGTCTGGAAGATCTTCAGAGGGAGAAAAGGAAAAAAACATTATCACTACAGTGACTTGCACACAGACAAATAAACAGGTAACTCGAGAGGGCACCACCCACGTGGTTCCTCAAAGGCAAGCAATCCCTGCAGGCTGAGCTCTCGGAGGGACGGGGTATAGCCGTGCTCAGTCTGAACCCCGAGAACTTTTCAGGAACCCCCTCTCCACCACGGTCTATGCTTGATGCCAAGAGCCCTAAGCAGTTCTTTGAATTCAACAAGTTTTTTAAGACCTTTTGGTAAAAACTTAACCTGGAAAATATATTTCCAATAAGTTCCCTGTAAAGTTAACAGTCTTTAAGGTGGGGGTAAAAGCAGTTTTGCTCCATGGTCATGTGAGTTTAGGAAACACTGCAAATGTCAGCTCTTGCGCACTTTCTTGAGAAACTCTGACTGGCATCTGGCCAATGAATGTCCCACGGAACCCAGTATGGCTTCTCAAATTGCTCAAAGGTAATGTTTCCTAAATGTTTGTGTCATAGGCCAACATATGGATACGTATGCAATAGTGAAAGCTACCTTCTACAGAAACTGTAAAGAAAAGGATACACAAATACTTTTCTGAGAAAATGAAACTATAACTGTAATCTTGGAGGCCTCACTAAGGCTGTCATCTGACAATTCTGGTTTAAACACACGTGTGTACACACTCTTACAAAGGCAAGCAACTTCCATAAAACGAAGACTGATCTAAAAACAAAAAATCATACACATGGCCAATTCATGTGCACAGCAAAGGACATAAAGTGTGATGATCTGGCTAACATCTCGCTCAAGAAGCAAAATTACAGGTGGGCTAGCCCCAATTTGTCCATCACTGGGCCACAACTATACTTTTCGTGCACATTCAATAGGTAACAGCCTCTTGAACACAAACATTCTTAAGAGAGAAATAGTAGGATAGACTGAGAGATGATTTTCAGCAAGTTAATAACTGAACGAATGTTGTACCACAGAGGTTGAAGATGTTTTGCCTTCAGAGTAAGTCACAGGACTAGTAATCCCGCTGGTACCAAACCTGGAGCACACAGAGTTCTTGATGCTCTCATTTGGGAGGAGGTGGACTCAAGGCCTTGGTGCCAGTGTAAAAGGCATCAATACGGTTTCTTCCAAGTAACCTTGGGCTGATTAAATTCAAATGCTAGTGCAGAAAGAGTCCTTTAGGATATTGGCTAATATTGTTCATTTTAGTAATAGAGAGATGGAAAAAATGCTGTTAAATGCTTTAATATGCCCATTAAAGGAACTCAATCCATAGGCTATGTAGGGGACTTCAGAAGAAAATAAAAAGCAAGAGTAACTGTAGCTCAAGTGGCTCAACTGTCAGCCTACGAGTACTTCAAGCTCAAAGGAACGGTTTAGTGAGCAATACCCTTAGAGAATGAAAGTGGGTAACTAGTTACCGGCTGAGCCTGCCAATACTTAATAAAAGGACTGCAGAACTAAGAACAGAGATACAGCCAAAATCTATATTGTTCAAACACCTTCTCAAGAGCCTCATTCAAATCTCGAGATAATATAAGGAAACTCTTCAGACAGCTATTTAAAAAGCTATGAATATTTCCACTTTACCCCTAAATCCTTTCTCCAATCCAACAAAAATGTAATGAAAATTCCATAAACCCATTACCTTTGATGAGCTGCTGTACTAAGGCGCTGTTGGGGCCCTTATCGGTGCTGTGCACGATGCAGTTGGCTATCCTGGTCAGGTGTCCCATGTAGCCATGCCGTCTTCCTCCTTCGGCTCTACCAGGGGTAAAGGACAAATATTCAGACTCCTGAGAGGATGGAGTGATGAACAGCTTGGTAAGTACAGTGGATTTAAGCAATCATTCTAAAAACTGAGGCACTAAAGACAAGAACAGGCGGAAGAAGAGGGTACGTAATATAACCAGGTTGGTGTAGGGGTGGGGGGTGGGAGTGTGGCAGCAACTGTCTACTCAAAAGACTACATTGTAGCCTCAGTCAACAGGACAAACTCTGTTCAAAGACTCAAACCAACCATCCTCGGTAACACAGTATCTTTAAAAACAAAACCCCAAACATTCACTGATGCCTAATGATTCTGTAACTTTCCTTCCTATCTTTCTGTGAAACTATTTTTCAGACTTTAAACAGATTGTAGGGAAATGAGGTGAGAATTCTGCTGGTTCATTTTGCTAAGGTATCAAATTTTAATTGTATCAATCAATCGAGATAGTTATCTACCAATGGCATTTCTCAAGTTAAAATATTAGCTGATTTGAGGACTTGGCCAAGATGAGAGGTAGTCAACTTGCATCTGGCCCACTTCCCACCTGGACACGGACATTCACATTATTCCTCACCCCTTCCCCACTTAGAGTCCAATCTTCACAACTATGACCCATCTTTACATTTAGACAAACTTTTCACATCACAGTGATTTCTCCGCCTGAATATTTACAAAGTGTCAAGTCTTTAAATTCTATGAAACAAAAGACTTTTGATTGCAGACAGGAGGAAACAAACCGAAGAGCTCTTTGCTTCAAGGGAGAATCTTTCAGGAGTCACTAAGAAAAACCATACTGTGCTTGTAGGCTTGCCTGGAAAATGAAATATCTGCTAATAAGCTTAGTAGAGGGCCTGGGAATACCTAAGGGTCTGAAGGCATAAGGTTGACCTTAGCTGAACTGCTATGAGCCTCTTTCAGTTTCACAGTAAGATCCCACGACCCGAGTATTCCTTCTGGGCAAATTCTTAGTCAGAAACTCTGGTATTCCCTCAAACCCTCACAAGGGAAAACAAACACCCATCTCCAAGTATTTTGGCCCAAGGCTCCGAATTTTCTTTAGGCTTCCTATTCAAGGAAACCTTAAAAAGCTCTTTCAGGACTCCCCAAGAGGGGAGGAATATTATTAGCCAGGCCTTCAGAGGATGGAGCTTGCGGGGAGTAGAGCACACGGGACACCTCGGCACTGGTGAGACGAGGAAGCAGAGAGGAAGGGGGTCAAGGAAGGCTAAGATGCGGCAGACACATAACCAGAGACGCCACTCTGGCCACAGACAGCACCCCAAAGGAGCTCCATTTGGAGGAAAGTATCTGAGGTCCACCAAGACTGAACCCCTGCCACCCTCAACCTACACACCACCTTTCGCCACCCAGAATCAAAGCAAAGCCCTATCGGTGTTTAGTAAGCAATTTTTAAAAACTAAACCCCAGAAAACAAAGCAGGCTGCTCCCGTGAGTTACCTAGCTCTCCTGGGCACTGCAAGAGACATCTGAACAGAGACACAGAGCAGGGAGATCCTGAGAAAGGTTAGACTATAACGGGGCACGTGACAACTTTATGCGGTGATGGAAACGTTCTGTGTCTTGTCTGTGATGGTTACATGACTGAATGCATTTGTCAGAATTCCTAGAAATGTATACCCAAAAATGTATACTTCAATAAACCTGACTTAAAAACAAACACAAGAAGTATACCTTGAGAGTGTTTCCCAAACATACCCACTTGCTTCAGAATCTATGGGATGGCATAAAAGCTCCCAGGGCATTAGAGAGGAATGCCTGTTTCAGACAAAACCGCTAGGGAAAAAAACTCTGTGTAACAAAGCTACTCACATGCAGCAACTAATACTTCAAGTTATCTTGCCGATCAGCTAACGGAAATTTTCTAAAAGAGGAAATACTAAGCAATTTTACCCTCCCTCTAGCTCCGTGCACAAAGTGACTCTTTTCTTCCATGAGAACCGGGGTAACAAGGACAAAGGTGCTAATTAAGGAGGACTTTACTTTGTAATTCTTTCCCTTCAACTCCCCATTATTCTCAGAAAAACAGCCATTCAGAAAGGACCAAGAAGTTGCAAAGGCAGCAACAGAGGTGGGGAGTACTCCCAACCCCTGTTCTTTCAAGACAGGTAGAAAGACAGGGGGATCTAAAAGTAAATTACTAGAAAAATATCTGTTACAATTAAATAATCTGGAAGTCCCAAGAGGACCATTTGTAACTGTAAAGTGGCCTGTACCATGTAATTATATTATATTCATTGTTCCCTGTCTAGGGCAAGGGAGTATATTTTCTTCAAATTAAAAATCAAACTGAACTCCTATCAGAAAACAATTTACTTACTGTTTCTTCTCGTTCATTTCCCAGGCGTCAAGTATTCGTTCTATCAATTGACATTTTTGAAAGAGCTGAATAAAAAGGAACGTTCCAGTTTAACATTGACATAAATGTCAAAGTGTCAAATTTTTAAAGTGAAACAGAACTCCAGTTAAACAGAAAAGTGATACCTATCACTTTATACATATAACCCAGCAAGCCTAATACAGCTGTGAATTACTGGCTAAATCAGATGCACCGTGAAAATAAATTTACTCAAGGGCCCCAGAACACTACAGGGATTCAAGACAGGATCTATGCCTTTAGCAGTGAACCTACGAGGAAATAATATATTTCAAGTACTGCTACCAGTGAGCAGCTGACCTAAAGCAAAAGACAGGTTTTACTCTGAAATGGAATAAAGAAAATTATGCCTCGGCAAAAATTTAACTCACAATCCACAGCAATACTTGTACATTTTAAATGCGAGCAACACTTACTTCTCTATGAGCTAACATTACTGCATTCGTATTAAAAATAGGTGTGGCTTGCCAAACTTCCGCACGCCAATGACCAGTGCTGTGGGCTGCATTATCGAATGTGCACAGCCAGTCTTATTCAAATGTCATTTGTCTTCCCCATCTACTTGGTTACTCCAGGTTAGCCTTTCCCATCTTCAAGGTTTGGGCGTAACCCAGTATGAGCTAGAGAATGTCACACAATCACAGAACTTCAGAGCAAGAAGAAACCTGAAGACTGACTTAGTAAAATCACCTCATATTTAACAAAAGAAAACAGACCCCCAGAAGAGGCTTCCTCGACACTGCATAAGAACTCACTTCTCCCAACTTTCAGTCATATATTCAGCACAAGAAATTAAAACTCTGGCAAGCCAAATAATTGGTTCAAATGTTTTCTGCAGTATTTAAATTTGCATTGTTCTTTTAATCTCCAAAAGATTTCTAAATCTTCAAATTTATTAACTTTCCCAAATAAGCAAGCCACTTAGCCTTTTTTTTTTTTAAAAGTTCATCTAATGGTTAATTGTCCAGGATATGATTTACAGAATCACTGGTTAAAAGTACCATTACAAGTTAAATATTCAGACTCTGAAATCTAACCTCCCACCCTTAAACCTCAATTCACTGCACACCTTAAGCAGAAAAATGCTATAACCAGGAGTGGCAGAAAAAAAGACACCAAGTAAGCTTACATGTTTCAATAACAAATTGTCACCAGTGGAGTCTTGATCAGTAATTGTGCTATTTTCTGTGTTTTCAAAAGGACTTGCAAGAATCAGTGCAATACAGATTTCCACTTGTGTGTGTAAAAAGTTATTCCACGTGTATTTGAAGAACATGTCCTACAAAAAAAGAAAAATAATGCTTTCTTTTATTCAGTCTCCTCCATGTTTAAGCCACTACCGCAACACATTGACCAAATAATGAATTAATAAAGTGAAAATGATGTGTTCCTAGTACAATAGGACAAATTAAAAGGAACACATTTTATTTTAAATGCAGTTTAAAATGCCTTCATAGACTAAATAGCATGGTATTTGCTCATTTAACATGTCAGAATTTGCATGGAAACTAACAGAGACCAACAATAAACACATAAAGAGAAGACAATAATAAATTTCTCAGACAGAAAGAGAGTGTCTTTTTGTTTTCAACGTGACTAATACAGATATTAAGAGTTCAGTAAATTTCCAAAGAAATTTATGAGAATTTCATTTTGCCTCAACAAACGTTTACTGATGACTTCTGAGCAGCACACAGTGCTAGGTGCAACCTGGGAGACAGACAAAAATACGGTCTCCAGTTTTGAGGTGCTCACACCTTAAAAAAAATAACCACTCGGGCATTCAAAACTCATAGAACTATCAGTGGATAGAGCAAAACAGGAAAGGTATGAGAGGTGGTGACCTGCGGAACTCCTGGAGGTGCAAGGGTTTTCCAGATTACCTGAAAAGGTAACAGTAGCACAAAAAAAAAAAAAAAGACAATTCCAAAAAGCACAAATGCATCAAGTATGTATTCAGGATATCGCTGAGTCTTGGTTGTCTAATCTCAAAATGAAAAGATAATGATTAATGATCCACTTAGGAGTTTTCTCATATTAATCACTCAAAAGAAGCTCTAAGATTAACAACAGAATGAATTAACAACAGCTGTAAACTTACTACTAGGAAGATGAAAGACTAGTGATTGATGACTTCCGTGAGACTCCCAGAGACAGGATTAGGAAGTTATATCCCTGTCAGAGGGTAGGGCAAAAACTATGTCCCCACAGGGCAAGGGTTATGCTGGCAAGGAAACTGTAATCCTGTAGCGTCTCATCTTTCTCCAAACGTTCCTGCTCTCTACGCCTTCTACTGCTATGTCATTTAACACAAAGCTGAAAAACAACTGAAAGTGTCTATCTCAGTGACACTAGGAAGAACAAAGGGAATGGTTGATAGAGCATGCATGGGTTTGAAACTGGATGTGAATTCAAATCCTGGCTCCACCACTTACTAGCCATGGAATGTATCCCCTATCTGGGCATGATCTGAAAAATCATGCCCAGGATCGCATGAGAAATGTATATGAAGTTTTATACCTAGGATCACATGAGAAATGTATATGAAGTGTACATTCAATACCTTTCATGTAAAGAGCAAACACCCAGAGTCTCCTTTGAAACACACTCCAAGTTCCTCCCGGTGTACAGTGTGGCCAACGGGTGTACAGTGTGGGTCCTGGGAACCCATCTGTGCTGTGCGGAGGCAGGATAGAGCAAGCAGAGGCCCCGGGGCCAGGCCCATGGATCCCAAACACAGGCCTTGGAGCTGGGGAACTCAGGGGTCAGGGAAGTCCAGGTAATTCCTGGGCTCTTCCTTTTCCCTTCCATTCCCTTCTGCTTCCACTGAAGCAGACTAAATCAAAAGATAGTCTCACACTAAATCGAAAGACAGTCTTTTGGACTCAAATCAAGACAGTGTCAGAGACCTCGTATACTATCTCAGTGGAAAGAAAATCAAAGCTTGTCCCCTGGCTAATTATGAAGAGAAAATAATGCTGTAAGCCCCAGTCGTTTATTGCTAATACAGTCCCCTGAAGAGGGTGACTACACTCACTCCATCCTCCATACGAGACTGAGCTTCTCAAGGGAAACGTCTGTCTTAACCATCTTCCAAATTCTCTAATACAGTTCTTTACGCACGGCAACAATAAATTACTACTGAAAAATTGAAAGCATTCAAAATTGATGATAACCTCAAGGGGTAAACTATATAAAGGATTGTTTACACTCGGACCAAGGAAAGTCACTGACACATGCTGTAAATTTATGAGGTTCTACCTTCAGTTATGTATCCATAAAGTATCAAGGGCAAATTAAGACATCTTTCAGGGGATATCGTACCAATATGACCCCAATGCTATTCAGCTCCATAAGGTCCCCGTTGATACTGCTGGTATTTGTTTGGAGGAGGCTGGATATCAACCTAATCACATTCAACCGGGTGTTCCCCACGGGAGGGTCCAGCACGCCCCATGTAGTCTTCATCACACTTTTCTGAGGAAGAAAAAGCTTTCCAATTAAATTCAGTTCAGTAAACAAATAAAGGGTGTAGGAGTATGTGCTAAGATACAACGCTAGGTAAACTAAGCCTGCAAACAACTTGGCCTAAATTCTACACCTGAAGGAAAATCCAAAACTCCTACTGATGATATCTTTAAGATATGATGAAATGAACATGAGGGAAAACAATTAAGTAATTTCCCTGGACTACAAATTTTATAAGAAATCAAGTATCCCCTTGCCTTCAACATTGCAAACACCACAGGAATGAAGCAGAAAGCTACTGAAGTCCACGGAAAAAAAAGTGCAATATTCCAATTCTGACCAGAAACCTAAGAAACTAAGAAAAGTTACAAGTGGTTTTAGATCACAGTTCTCAATCTCTCCCAAATCTGTGATAAAAGTGCAAACTCAGAAGTTGCCTCTGCATCACAACCTTGAAACAGGATCAACCTCAAACCTGTTCTTGTCCATAAAAGGGAGTTTCTATTCTCTGAAATCACAAAAGACAGACACAGAACATTCCGGAACTTCAGAAGTTTGGCAGGAAAGGATGATGACCTGTGACAACGAAGCGATGAGGATGCCCTTCTCCATGTCCTCGTCCACAGGGGATCCCTGCCCCCCTGCCTGCGCTCCTCCAGGCCCAGTGGAACTGGACGGCCCCCAGTTTCACTCCCTGCGGCACAGCTCTAATAAACACGGACCTACTCACACACCACATCATGTAGTAAAAGCAGCCACAAGCTGAACTCACTCCTAGCCGTGAACAAGAGGAAGGGCAAACCAAACACTGTCTTACTTCCGAGCGAGGCCCAAGAAGAGTACCAGTGTGAGAATCCATATTAGACGCTGCCTTTTTTGTCCACCTAAAAAGAAGACTGTGGCACCTGAGACACAGGTCAGGGGAACCTGGCCACACCCTCTCCTCTCACAGGACCTCCTTCCCCTCCAACTTCCACTTCTCTTCTCCTGAGCAAATCCTTCTCCTCTCCTTACTCTCCCTCCTCTTCTTCCCAGGTCTGGCACAAAGGACGCCACTGTTAAACACCAGCTCCCCCTCCACAAGATGGTTAAGTAAACAGAAAACATCTACTTTAGAAAGGAGACACTAGTCTACTAATTTTCCAGTAACTCGCACCGTAGATGTCACAGAGACACACTTTCCAGAGCCTGGGATGCCGGATGCAATGATGCAGGGCAGAAGGAAAAACCAAAGTGTAAGAACTAGTGCAGGTGGTAGAACTCTCATGGAACTGCCTTCCACCCTAGAGATGCCAAAAGGAAGAGCCTTGTCCCCTAAAGCTCGATCTGCGCCAACCCGAGGGGGTGGGGTGTCACGGAAGGACACCACTATGGACCCTGGACACCCCTCTTTTGGAGGTCTTCGCTGTCTGCTGTCTGTGCTTTCAGTGGCTGCCTGATTAACAGTCATTTCTGGATTAGCACACAGATGCTCCCGACAGAAAAACTAACACTCCAAGTCACATTCAGCCAACTACTTCTTAAATGAGATACCTGTCCATCAGGCGGTTACACTGCTCCAACTCTGAGTAAGACAGCTCAGTTTCAAAGGTTAGTTCCTAAAAGGTTAGCTTTTACCTCAAAGATGTGACAATGACACGCTGTGAGAGGAAAGCTACTGTACCGGCGCGTAAGTATGCAGGGTATAGAGGAAGAGCAAAAAGCTGAGTTTCCTAAGAGGATGAGTAACTTACTTAATTTTAATTCTATTCTATTCATCAATTTAGATGCTATATATCGATGAAAGCCAATTAAAAACTAGCTCAAGAGCAATGAAAACAACTGCCTGTGTACCTTCTAATATGCTTTGCACATGGGAGTCACAGCCAGTCCTTTAACTCACAAGGTTCATCTACTTTCTAACAATAGCTGAAATCTAGCTACTCGCTGGTCAACGGGCTTCAGAGAGCTGCCTTACCTTGGGTGGCTCAAGCAGGAGTTCATGAAAAGATCCAAGTCTTCCTCGGATGGCTTCTAGAACGCTCTTGTTGACCAAACAAGCTGAATGACTCATGCCTGGTGGGCAGATCTCTATATGGCCTTCAAATCTTGAAACAAAGCAAGTTAATTTTATTTATTACTTCAGAACAAATCACTCAAGGTGCTCCGAATCAGCGTATAGGGATATACATAATAGCTATAGCATATATAGTGATTATATCAAAATTTCTGGAAGGATAGGAAGAAGGTGTAATAAAACCTTGATGGGGATCAGCCAACATGGTCTGAAATCCAAAGATGTACAGTGTCGGGTGAGAAATTATATGCCATTTCTTCCCATTCTCTCCTAAACCTTCTAACTCCTTATACCTATTGTACTAATATCAGGTCTCTAACCAGAAAATCTGGAAAGCAGCAGGAGATCCCTGAATTACAGGACACATCACACTGCCTGCCACTGGAAGACTGTTACTAATAAACAAGCCTGTATTTGTTCTATACAGTTTCTCTTGACTAATCAATCAACACTGCTTCCTATTTAAAAGTCTTAACTTACTCTTCTGTATAAAGCTTCATCTATACTCATTATAGACCACTCCTTTTAGAAAAACAATTACGAGTGGAATGAGACTCCCAAATCCCAATCAGTTTTAGAAAGCACAGGGGTTCTCCAAGTTTGGGGACATAAGGAGGGAGGGGTCTAAAAATGTGGGTGTACAGTTCAGATTAAAAGATAAACCTGAGAGTGGTGTGTCAGTGCAAACTAGCGCTTAACAATGTAGCTGCTGGAGCACGACTGCCTGAGCCTGAACCCTGGACCTTCACTCACCAGTAATTCGTTCTAATATGGAAAATAGGAACCACTCAAGAATGTCCCTCCCAGGACTGCTGTGGGGACCACGCTAATGTAGACAAAGGACTGAGCGCTGCCGGACACAGCTGACACCTAGAGAGTGGTTATTAGGGCTGTTACCCCAGGACTGCTGTGGGGACCACGCTAATGAGGACAAAGGACTGAGGGCGCTGCCGGACACAGCTAACACCTAGAGAGTGGTTATTAGGGCTGTTACTTGAAAATATTTCACACGGGCAAGTGATTTCTAAGAGCTACACGGAACAGCCTTCAGAAACTCAATTCCTAGAAAGGGGGAGTAGGTAGAGTAAAGGCCTTTTGCTTTGATTATAGTGCTTTTTAATGTGTAGGGGTTTTAATAATTTATGTGGCCAAATATAGCATTCTTCACTATAGTCTCTGTCCAGGAAGCCATACTTAAAGTTCTTTACAATGCCATAATCCTATGAGTATTTGCATACTTTTCCTCTGGTGTTTTTCATTTAACTCATCTGGAATTTATTTTTATGCAAAACAGGTATAGACATGATATGTTTTTCCCCAAGTGGCGAGTCACTTCTAAGCCACATTTATAGAACGATCCGCTTTTCCCCACTTATGTGAAAAAAAAAAAACCCATACAAAAGCATATACTAAAATTCCTTAATCATTCATATACATTTTATTTGTTCATCTAATAAATACTTAGTGAGCATCAATTTATGTACCTGCCTTGACTCAGGTACTACAATCAATATCCATGGTGTTTCTCACATTTTAATCCTTTCAAATATATGTAAAAATCTGCCAAATCCAAAACAAAACCTGTGCTGATATTCCGAAGAGATACATGAAATCTGGAACATAGACTTGGAAAGGCACAAGAAGTGATGGCTGTTTGGGGCATCAGGAGTCTGTTCCTTTCCTCTCTGAACAGAGATCTACAGTCCAGATGCACGGTATCTGCATCCACGCAGCTCCCTCAACCACTCACCAGTTAAGGAAACTTTGCTTATTTACTGTTTTGGATGACTATGAATAAAGGGCACAAATATTCACTTACAAGTTTCTGTGTGACACAATTTTCACTTTTCTTGGGTAAATATCTAAGAGAGTGCTGGATAATATATTGTAATAAAGGTCTGTTTGTTAAAAAACTGCCAGGTGTTTTTAGAAGATGGCCACATGACTTAACATCCCAGTCGGAGAGTGTGAGGCTTCACTGTCACCAGCGCTGGCTCTGTTTGTTTGGTTCAGCTGTTCAGTGGGCTGAATGGTCCCCCCACAAAACGTATGTCCACATCCTAGTCCCCAATCTGGATGCCTTTTCTTTCTTTCCTGCCTCACTGCACCGCTAGGGCCTGTAGCATGAGGCTGAATAGAACTGGTGATGGGAAATATTCTTGCCATGGTCCTTCATTTTAGGGGCTATGATTTCAGTCTTTGCCCATTAAGAATGATGGTAGCTATGGGTTTTCTTTTTGTTTCTCAGTTTCCAAGTTCCCTTCTATTCCTAATTTGCAGAGAGGTTTTTATCATACAAGAATGTAATGAAATGATCACATGGTTTTACTTCTTTAGTCTGTTGGTATCAGTTATACTGGTTGATATTTATTAAAGCTATTTTTGTAAAGCAGTTTTAAGTTCACAGCAAAATGGAGGGGAAGGTACAGAGACTCCCATATACCCTCTGCCCCCACAAGTGCACAGCCTCCCCATTATCAACATCCTCTACCAGAGTATGTTTATTACAATCCATGAACCTACACTGACACATCATCACCACCCAGAACCCAGCTTACATTATGGTTCACTCTAATGGGTTTGGACAAATAATGACATGTATTGGTCACTATGATATTATACAGAGCATTTTCACTGCCCTAAAGGTCCCCTGTGCTCCACCTATTCATTTCACTCCCCTTGCCAACACCTGGCAACCGTGATCTTTTTACTGTCTCCACAGTAAAATATGACATTTTCCAGAATGTATGTAGCCTTTTCAGACTGGCTTCTTTCACTCCTTTCTTTCTTTTTTTTTTTTTTTTTTTTTGCGGTACACGGGCTTCTCACTGTTGTGGCCTCTCCCACCGCGGAGCACAGGCTCCGGACTCGTAGGCTCAGTGGCCATGGCACACGGGCCCAGCCGCTCCTCGGCATGTGGGATCCTCCTGGACCGGGGCACGAACCCGTGTCCCCTGCAGCGGCAGGCGGACTCTCAACCACTGCGCCACCAGGGAAGCCCACACTTCTTTCTTTTTCATTTGCATTTAAGGTCCCTCCATGTCTTTTCATGGCATGAGGGCACATTCTTTTTAGTGCTGAATAATATTCCACTGTCTGGATGAACTACGGTTTATTTATCCACTCACCTGCTGAGGACCTCTTGGCTGCTTCCAAGCTTTGGCAAGTGTGGATAAAGCTGCTGAACAACCGTGTGCAGGTTTTTGCGTGAACCTAAGTTTTCAGCTCCTTTGGGTAAATACGAAGGAGCACAACCGCTGGACTGTATGGTAAAAGTATGTTTAGTTTTCTAAGAAACTACCAGACCGTCTTCCAAAGTGGCTGCACCATTTTGCGTTTCCACCAGCAACAAATGAGATTTCCTGCTGCCCCGCAGTCCTGCCAGCACTTGGTCTCGTCAATTAGGTCCACTGAATTGCTAGTACTGTGCTTCTTACTGATTTCTGTCTAAACGTTATGTCCATTTCTGTTAGAACTTCTGTTTTAGATTTACCAAAAAATTGCAAAAATAGTGCAGGGTTCCCATGTGACCCATACCCAGTTTCCCGTTATTATCTTACATTTGTCAAAATTAATGAACCAGTACTCACACGTAAAATCCATACTTTATCCAGACTTCCTTGGTTTTTGCCTACAGTTGTTTCTCTGACCCAGAATCCACCCAGGACACCACACTATATTTAGCTTTCAAGTGTCCTTAGCCTCCTCTTGGCTGTGATAGTTACTCAGACTTTCCTGGTCAGGTACTTTGCAGAATGTCCCTCATTTGGGGTCTGGTCTTAACATTTTTCTCATGATCATGGGTCTTTGAGAGGAAGAACACACAAGTAAAACGACATTTTCATTACATACTATCAACACAACAGTGCTGGCTGCTGACTTTGATTATATGGCTGAGGAAGTGCTGGTCAGATTTCTCTGGCAAACTTGACAGAGTAACTGTCAAGTTCTCATTTTATTCTCTCTTCATACTGCACTTTTTAGAAGGAAGTCATGAGGTGCAGTCTACACGTCAAGAACGGACAGTCTTTTTCTTTCTCCTTGAGAAGGGATTATGAACTATTTGGAATTCTCCCACAGGGGAGGTTTGTCTCTTCACCCCCTTTTACTTATTCAGTCACTTATTTATATCAGTATGAACTCATGGGTATTTTATACTTTGTGTTATAAAACAATACTGCCTTATTTTATTGTGCAAGTGTTCCCAGCTCTGGCCACTGGGAGCTCTTTTAGTTGGCCCGTGTCCCTCTCACACACCCGGTGCTGTGGGTTTTCTCTCTGAGCGCGTCCTTACTGTCTGCACTACAGGACGCTCCACACTCATCTTGTGTACTTCTTAGCCCAGTTGCAGAACCAGCCATTTCTCCACGAAGCCCTGGTTCCTTTACTGGAGGATGGTATGAGAAACTGAGATCTGGGCACACGGTTACTGGTTCCTGGTGATGCTTCATGACTTCTAGGCCTCACAAAGCAACTGTCTTCCTGGTTTAACTCTTCATATTTCAGTATAGGTAACTTCTAGTGTCCTACACTGATCCTTTCCTCAACTATGTCAAAGTTTACAAATGAGCCCAAAGGCATTCTTCAATTTCTGTTGTAGTTTTCATTTCTAGCATTTGTGTATGATCTTCCATATCTGTTAAAATTCTCCATCTGTTCACATATTGCTCACTTTTCCCACAAGCCTTTAACACATTAATCACAGTTATCTTAAATTCCCTACCAGATTGTTCCAACATTTCTGAATCTAGTTCTCCTGACTGCTTTTTCTCTTGAGAGTTCAGTTTGTTTGGGTTCTTTTTATCTTGCTTCTTTGTCTTGCAATTTTTTAGCTGTGACGTGGACATGCTGTGTAAGACAACAGAGACTGATATAACTAGTATTTGCAATGGATACACCCCTTTTTTTCTAGGTCTTTAGTGTGGGGTTTCTGGATCAATTTATAGTCAGCAGCTGAGTTAGGTTTGGGTTTTGTTGTTCCTATGACTGACTTCTCTCAGCACACTGAAGACTTTAAATGTGTCTCAAGTCACTTTGTATTTATAGTTAGGGATGGATTGCCAATGTTTTCTCAACTTCTGTCTGCTCTGCCCCTGGCTGAGGTTCTTCCCTTCAAGCCTGCTCCTGTGCTGATGGCCTCCTTCCACACTGCAGCCTTCCCTCCGCCAGCACGCTGCTCTCGTCACTCGATGTGTGGTGGCCTGGTGGGGAGGACCGCTCTGTTGTTCTGGTTCAGCCTCAGTCTCAGGCAGCGGGAGTGCTCATGGACCTCAGGGGTGGGGCCCTCTCGGTGATCCTGCCCTTACCTCAGTGGTAGGGGCTCTCTAATAGCCTGGGCCCTGAAAAGTGTCCCTGCTTGTCCTGTGGGGCAGAGGCTTTTTCCTGGTCCCTTCCTCCTCATCGTGTCTTTAGGGTTACAGGGTTTGCCGCCCTTTCGCCAGTGGCTTCAGGGTTTTATTCAGCAGGGGCGGGAATGGAGAAGGACCCTGCTGCTGCACTCCGCAGCCCTACTGTGCAAGGGAGGCCTTCTCAGGGCTCCTACCCGGCCTCCAGTACTTCCTGAGCAGGGCTCGCAGGTATGTGCAAAGTCCTGAGTCTGTAGTTCTCAGGGTGCCCTTACTCTCCCTGCACCTGAGGCGCTTTGGGCGTTACATAACCTACTATTATTCTACGTTTATAAAAAACACATTGGAACTATCATTTTTTTAAGATGAAAAATGAAACTGTGTATCAAAGTACCTCAGTTCCTCAGCAGAAGATAAGAATTATATTGTGCACTAACTTACCCCTTCTCTCCTTTCTTTCCCGGACCGGGGCACAAACCCGTGTCCCCTGCACTGGCAGGCGGACTCTCAACCACTGCGCCACCAGGGAAGCCCTCTCATTATTTCTTGAGTTTTATTAAAATAATCTGGAATTTATTGGGGTTTTTTTTCAACATTTGACTTATTCAATTATTCATTCTTAACATAACTTTCATAGTCATATGAATTGTCACATTCCTATCTGTTTCATTTATCATTACTTTCACCAACATATTTCCTTATCTTAAGTTCTTTATTCGACCTTACTTTTCTGCTTGGCTTCGGTAAAGTCCATCTTCGAGTAATTTGGCCCAGGTACAGGACACGGACGGGACACTGAGGTCCATACACTTGAAAATGCCTCCTGCCCTCACACAGCAACAAAAGTGCTTCAGGGTCACAATCCTGCCCCCTGTTTTTCAGTGTTTAGTTAGCTTTACAAATGACATGTCTGGCAACGTGATTTGCTTTGTAGTTAACCCACTATTTTCTTGTCCAAATATTTTTAAGATTTATCCTTTATCCTAGGGATTCAGAAATCACATAAGGATAAGGCTAAGATCTCAGTTGTCCACCACCCCTCCACCTGCCCCTCTTTAAAGTTAATCGTGCTTAGTATTTGATAAACCTTTGTGGTCTGAGGATAAGTTCCTTCTGATCAGAAATTCCTTCCTGTCATTTATTACTGTATCATCTCCATTCTCAAGCCAGAGTTGTCAATATAAATCTCACAGCACCAGCTCATGTGCTTTTAAACCATTTTGAGAGATGATGCAACTGCCCTGCAGCATGAGTAGCAAGGTAACAGTCCTGTATCACCTGATTAACACCTTAAGTTATTGGTTACGTTATTTAAAATATGATTTACCAGGGAAGACACAGGCAAAGTCAAAACTACAGATACAACTCCAAATGACAACATAGCTGAAGCAGTGCTGCCACACTGCCCTTCCATTATCACTAACCAGAGATTAAAGAACCAGAAATAGAGATGAAGACTTTGGGAAGCAGGGATTGGTAAGGCTGTGTTTACTATTTTGCTGGAAACCAAAATGACATCACAAACTAAATCCAGAAACGCTGGATGGCTAAATTTTCATATGCTGACAGTAGACCGTGTCTCTCCTCCTCTTCATGCCCTCTGCTTTACTGGATGGATCCAATAGTGGGTAAGAAAATACAAATTCTGATCTCTAAACCACATGTTCCCGGAATGCAAACACATACATACCTCTTCAAATTCTCATTCTCCAGAGAACAATTAGGAAAACTCTGACAATTAATAAGTAAATTAGCTTTGGGTATAAACTGTAAAGAATAATATGACAAATATTAATTGGCTTGTCCAGAGGCACATACATAGGGAAAACAAGACTATATTTCTGATTCTGAAACACACAGCACAAAGTTTTCCTTAAGGCCTCAAGCCACCTGCCCGTCCATTTTTAAACAGCCTAATGAACTGTAGTTGCCTCATACGTGAAACCCCAGAAAAAAACAACCCAAAGCCTCAAGCTAGCAAGCACTGGACAGAATTACAAGATGGAAAGAGCCCTGAACTGCCACTTGGAGGAGAGCTGCATACAAACCAGGAACACCTATTTTCAATTTTCATAAGCAAGAAATAAGCTTCTCTTGTGTTTGAGCCATTCTGTATGGGTTTGACTTATTATAGAAGCATTTTGGTAACTACTACAATACCCCAGATGACTAGAATCCACATATTGCCAATAGTGTTTACCAAACCATATAGTTCAACTACATCTATGCATCCCATTCATAAAAAACTATTTATATAGTAGAAAAAGATTCAACACCTGAAATTCACGGGCATGATATTGTAGCGATCAACCAACAACTTAACTCTTAGCTTTTAAAAATTCTAAAAGCAAAACCAAATGGCTCATTTCGCAAGATAGAAAGGAAAACTTACGTTGGTCGCCGTGTCTCAAGTAAAGCCAACAATATCTGGACTGCGCTGACTATGGCCGATTCATTCTTCTCCTTGTGGAAAATATTTGATAGGAGCTGCTCTATGATTTCTTGCCTAGGAAAACAAATCAATAGTCAAGCGCTAATTGTAACATTGTTTAACACAACTTCGGAGAAAAAGATCATGGTATCAGTAAGACAAGTATTATAAAACAGTTCAACCTCACTTGTGCATATTTATTAACAATATTTTATGTTTAATATATCTATAAGGAAGGCCAGTGATCTTGCTTATCATAAATGTAACACAGACATACGTATATATATATATATATATATATATATATGCCTATCCCCTCCCCTCAGCAAAGTCATCTGGGCCCTGCGTGCCTTTGCCAATCTTGTTGAAAGCCAACAAACACCTCACGACTGGAAGTCACCTCCTACTCAGATGGTGGGGACAGGCGGTAAAAAGACTCAGAACCCTTCAGCCCCACAGAAGGAGGGGACTTTTTACAAAAGAAACCATAAATATTTTCCCACAAAGGCATTCATGTATAATTAACAAACATCTAAAACAGATACAAGATAACATCACATGCTGCACTGTACTGTACAACTAAAATTCGGTAAAAACCAAAATAATGTGGTAGCAGTGAAATGGGTGTGACTGAACTCCTGCCCCAAAAGTATTCTCCACAGGCTCTTCCCATGACACCCCCCCATACATGTATACAAGGTCACAATTAATGTAGAATACAAGGGTAACCTGTTAGTTTCTTAGGATCTCAGTAATTTTTAGAACCCATGGGGATTAAGAAATGGAATCACCTTAGCAATGAGAGGGACAGTTGGTTGTCCCTGGTGCCCACCTGGCAGACACACCAGTCACCCCAAGGTACAGCTGTGCTCACTGGCTACTAACACCAGTTCCTTTACCAGGTTAGGGCAGCAAGTAGGAGAGAATCTCTTCCTCTTTGGGGGAAGCAAATAAAACTGGTATCTAACATAACTTCAGAGGATCCCCTTGCAGGAAGTAGCTTTCAAGTACTCTCAGACCAGCACTAGAATTGCTTGTGAGATCTCTACCCAAAACAGTACTGTAAAAGTCACTAAACACACAGCAGTCTACAGAGTAACTATTAAACTTGGAACTGAGCTCTGGAAAACAGACTGCTTTTTTGTAAATACGTATATTCTTCAAATAGCAGCCTCACCCCAGGTAGACGGGTACCGACAGGGCATCCAACTGTAGACGTCCACCTTCTCATTCAGCTGTAGTGTCTAACTTTCTAGAGAGCAACATCACCTTTCATAAACCCTGACGCCTGAAGGGAGTGGCTAACAAAGAGGTTCTCACTCTTTCATGGCTGCATCAAATTGGAAGTCTACCATACCCATGGAGAGCGTTCTACTAATGGACAAAAATGAGATAATAACCAGCAAAAATGTGACGGTCAAGATGCAACACAGCAGCTGAGCCATATTCTGAGTCTTAGCTAAACAAACAAATATCACCCAATACAGAAGAAATCATAAACTGAAGAACTGAGCTTATTAAACAGGATAAAAAGAATGCCTTCATATTCTTTAAATAATAAGGCATTTATTTACAAGTGAGAAGACATATTCACTTCCACTTTTTAAAAAATGGAGTTCTTGGGCTTCCCTGGTGGCGCAGTGGTTGAGAGTCCGCCTGCCAATGCAGGGGACGCGGGTTCGTGCCCCGGTCTGGGACGATCCCACATGCCGCGGAGAGGATGGGCCCGTGAGCCATGGCCGCTGAGCCTGCGCGTCCGGAGCCTGTGCTCCGCAACGGGAGAGGCCACAACAGAGAGAGGCCCGCGTACCGCAAAAAAAAAAAAAAAAAAAATGGAGTTCTTGGACAAACACCAATAAAGTTCATTATGTGAGCTGTGTTATGCACGAGGCCAGCCAGGTTCTTCACCCAGGCCTTTGAGACGATGGCGCACTTCTGTTTTGTTTTGTTTTGGTGTGGGCAGCTAAAGACTCGCATCTATAAAAATAACTGGGCTCAACCCGGCCCAGAGGCCGACCCACTGTCAGCTCATTAGTATCAAGAATTAGGAGCTGCCCGGTCCAACCCTCCCTAACACAACTAGTTTTAAAGGAATTCTGGAACTTCAGATTTTCCCACAACAGAGCTACTAAATTAAATACGTTCAATTTAAGCTCAGATTGTCTCCCAAGCTAACACTCACTACCTAACACCTCGGTCCACTTTCTTAGAGACCCTTTGGTATCCCTACCCACCCTGACCATTCTCTTTAACCTTAGCTCATTTCCAATTTTTCCTGCAGTGCTAAACTACACTTCCAGTTACACATACGGTGTTTATGTGGGGGTTAGCCTGTATACCGAGTAGACTGGCTTATAACACAACACTGCTATGTATTATTAGGTGATAATCAAATACATACAGATATATAACAATATATAAAATATACACAGATACTGTTAAAATTAATAAAAGCATACTAAGCTCACAGGAGCCTTTGGTCACTGTGTACTTCCTCAATCAACAGATACTAAAGAGAACGACTATAATGTGGGAACACGTCTGATATTAAAAAGGGTTGGTTCTCATCCTCAAGAAGAGTGTGGGAAGCACTGTTACAGAGTTAAGTCTCCCCGATGCTCAGTGCAGTGAAGGTTTAACTCAGTGACACCATGGAGCCCCTGACTCTTTAGGACCATGTAGTTGAAGAAATTTACTCTGACTAACATTTAATGATGTTGATTATGTACCTATCTGCATCAAAGTACAGTTGCCTGATCCAGGACTAGAAACACAGTGTGAAATATATTAGCTAGTGCATACAGAGGCTCCAACAGCTAGAGCCCACGTTTAGTCCAAATAGAGTTGAGTGAAGAGAGGGCTGGCACAGAAGAACTCAGTGATTACTGCTGACCAGCCTGACACTCGGGGTGAACCTGCACAGTCCAGGAAGGGAGCCAAGCACCACCTGTGGCCACAGAATGCTCAAAACGTAACTAGTCTGAATTGGCCTGCCCTAAGTGTAAAATACACACTGGATTTCCAAAACTTTGCACAAAGTAAAGAATGTAGACTCACTCATTAATAATTTTTTAAATGAACATATGTTGAAATATTATTTTGTACCTATTAAATAAAACATAAAAATTAATTTCACCTATTTTTTTACTTTAATATGGCTACTAGAAATTTTTAAATTACATGTGACTTTTATTATATTTCTAGTGGACAGTGCAGTCATGAACCATATGAAATTACTGTCAGTCAACATTTTTTAACCTTGAGTAAGTTAATTTTTACATGGCTCAACCTGTTTCTACTACAATTATCGGTATTGTATATTATAAAAGGAGTACATATGCCATAATGCCCAAGAATAACTGAAATGGGGCAGGTAAGATGACATTTTACTCAGAAGCTGATAATCTCTTGTCTTGCTACTTGAGAGGACTCGTCAATTCCTTCCTATTCTACAATGCACACTGGGAAAATACAACTTTATTTCTCAGAATACAGAGTTTAAAACAAGATATCTTGTCTCTAATTTGTTCCTTGTTTGCCTCACACTTGCCAAGTAAACAATACACACAAATGTCTTAGTTTAATAAAAGGGTCTTCCCGGCCAAAAGATGCAAACGAGTCTCAATATACAGGAGGACTAAAAAATTCCAACAAAGTCATTAAGAAGAACAACAGTAGCAGTAAACTGATGCGAGACTGCCATTCGTACATAACAACGCTAACTGTAGGTACTCTTTCCAGTTACTCATCCAAAGTGGGGAAATGCCTTATTTTTGTTTACTAAAATAACGTTCAGTTGTAGGGATGCAGGCAAATGTATGCCCATACTTGATGGTAAATACTCTTCCTGAAAATGTATGAATCTACAAATACCAGTATGGTAGGTTGGCCATTCGCAGATTTCAAAATACTACACCACCCCCAAGCTGTCTTCCACCTGAAACACATGAGATGTCTGTTCATTAGGAATTATCTAAAAATAAGGGCAGGAGCAATACAAAGAAACAAAACATACAAGATGTATAACCCTTCGAATCAGGTCTGGTCAGGTTACCCCTGTCAGCTGCCAAGGTATAGTGGATCCTAAGAAGAACTTCTGATTAAAAATCACTGACTGGGAATTCCCTGGTGGTCCAGTGGTTAGGACTTGGCCCTTTCACTGCTGATGGTGAGGGTTTAATCTCTGGACGGGGAACTAAGATCCCGCAAGCCACGCGGCATGGCCAAAAAATTAAAAAAAAAAATCACTGACTAAGATGGGTCAAATTACTTCATATACCTATCTTCCCCAAAGACCATGGAGGCAGTGACAGCAGTTATGATGTCACTGCCCCATCCATGATAGTTTCATAGAATTTAGTTTACAATTATTGAAAAGTTCAAAGTCTACATATAAATGTCATTTATTTACATTCTTACCCTGTAAGTCTCCAATGGGCATCACGACTGGCTGAGATCAGATAAGCAGGTTTTCCTGCCTTCTCAGCCACCCACAGGTTATTTTCCAGGGACACGATTCCCACGTAAGAAACACTTACCAAGTACTTACACTGGAAGCACATCAAATAGCATCAATATGAAGAAAGAACAAGAAGAGAGTTTCAAACATACTTTTCTAGAGTGGCAAGCAGGGGGTCTGGTTCTGTACTGTTCTGAATTTGTAACATCTGGTCTCTGCTCAGGCGAACAATTTCACAAAGTGACTGTGATGCATTTGAATGCCGCTAAAGGAAAGAAGTACAATTTTAACTATAAAACACATCAGAAGTCAAATTTATAATAAAATAAAGTTAGTGAAGAAACTGCTTAAGAAGTAACACAAATTAACACTGGCCATAAGCTACAGTGAATAAAAAGCCAGGGTCCAAAGAAATAACATATGTCAAGCATGAGTATTTTACCCTTCCAGGCTTTACTTAACAATGCCACAAACAAAATACACGTTACTTTGTGTAGGGAAATGTAATTAAAGTTCTGACAAGGAAAAATTTCTTTAATTAAATACTTGAAGAAAAATATAACCCCCCAAATTTATATCCTTTTAGCAGCAAAGAAAGATGAACACAATTCTTTGGCTTGAAAAAATACACGCAGCTTTCTGGAATATACTAATGGATAAGAAATATCACTTCAGTGCGCAGTGTGGTATTCTACAGGAAAGTTCTGAAACCTCAGCACCAAACGCCTATGCTCCGTGGCATGTGGCACTGAGCATCACCTGCCCAGTGAGACCAGAAGGTTCCAGCACAGATGACAACACACACCAGGATATCAAAATCCACTGTTTGCAATCAGGAGTCTAACATTTCCTCAATAAATATATGCAATTCATCACTTAATACAAAATGGAAGTATCAACAGGACTGTCCAAAAGACAAAATTAACTTCTCTTGCAAGTCAGAGAAGGTGCTGATGCCCCAAACGCTTTGTCCTTTGCAAAAAAAAGTTGCTGCAGAGTTGGGCTTCTCCTCTGTCAACTTCTCCTGGACCCTTCAGACAGGGACAGTACCTGTTGAGCAGGAACCTGGTGATGAGCAAGCTTCGTCTGTGGATGTGTCCTCCCTACCCCATGAATAGGGCAGGCCACACTCCTGTCCTCACTCTCCTTGGCCTGCACCGGCCACATTTCCAGCACATGGGAAATGTGCTCTTGGAACCATCCAACTCCCCCAGCCACAGCAGGAGGGCTCATCACCCCAACCAGGCCGAGGGCGCCGTCGAAGCTCTAGCACCCAATACGTGCACACACTGGAGTGTCCTTCCTGAGAGTCAGCAGTAACGATACTGCAGGGAGCACATGATGTACTGTCTCAGGGGAGGGTGGGAATCAACAGCCTCTTTAATGGTTAGCTCTTTTCTTTTTTGAAGGGGGCGGTGGGATGGGGAGCCTGCTTTAGATAAACTCCAGGTACCAAAAGTTTTTTAATGGACTGCAGTAGAAGGGGCTACATCTACCTCCACAGGAAATCTGTCTTGGTGGGGAGAACACGCTCCGGCCACATGCTCCTTCCTCTGCACTGTCTCCTCTATGGCGCTCACTCTCCGATTAGTCCAAGCTAGAGGCATCCAAGGAGGCTGCCCATGCCCCATGACATACCCTGCATGTTGTTTGAAACAACTCCTTTGTAGATACTACCTTGAACCACGTGGAACTGTCATTCCCATAGGCAGAAATGGCCAAATGCTGGCAGCTCCACAAGAGTCAGTGCACTACTGAAGACAGCAACAAGGGCAGCAGCAGAGAAGTAGGGGGACAGCCTCCTCTACAGCAGCATACCCGCTGGTCCTGGAGACCCCACCCCGCCCCCAAGCATCCCCTCAGCATGGAGCTCAACGTGCAAACTCCAAAGCAGCTTCAATTCTACTGCCAAGTCAATCTTTAGCACCCAGGACAAAGGCCAAACCTGTCGGCACAAAAGCCTGAGCCAGGAAGTAGAACCACCAAGAGCTCATCCCTCTTAAGGATTCAATGGTGACCAGGATCCTGCTGCGCTGTCTGGAAAGCTTTAGCCAGAATGGAAAAAACAAATGCACACAGACGTGGCCACATCATTTGGGCTAACGATGTGGTATAAAAGAAAAACAAAGTGTGGAGGAGGTTTGTAATAAAGGCAAGCAGATGCAGCACGAAGTCTCAGCTCTAAAAAGGAGAAGGAGCTAGACCCAAGGCTCACTGTTTCACATTCCGGGAAATTTTCTGAGTATCGGCAAAATGCAATATTTTAAAAAGCCTTTGGCGTTTAGAAACCTGTCAACTTGAAGAATGCCAGGTGATCGCTGTTACCTCCCCTCTACCTTCACACCTAGTACAATTATGCTCTGTGCCCAAATAAACATGGTTCACTTTTTTTTTTAAAATCAAGTTTATAGTCACACAAGAGAACTTACATCTTCTTCTTGCGATGGATGAACTATTTCCACAAGCCTCTGGATAATTTTCTCCTCATTTAACCACTGTAAAACACATTGTAGAAGTAATCATAGCAATGAGTGGCTCTTGTTCAAGCCCCAATGAAGATAAACATACTTGGAAATATCCATCACATTTTAAGTAGAATGTTACAGGTTTTCTCTGGACTTTGAACACTACAGGAAATTAAAAGTCCCCCAAGGAAAATGCCAGTGAATATATTATTTTAACAGTAGCTACAGTACCAACTACTCCCCAAGTCACAATGCCCACATCCAAAAATTCTATACATCAGTTTCTTAGTGATGTTAATTCTCAGACACTGGGTACTAAAACGGTCTGTACTTTGGACATGAAGGCGGGGGGAATGGAACTTATACATTTTCTGTAAGAGAGCATTCACTTTAAGAGAGCTTCAAAAAGGCTGAGAAAAGCAATATTTAGTAGCAAGCCTCTGGCTTAAAACACATGATGAACTTTTACCTTCTAAAACCAAAACAACCGCAGGAAACATGGGGGCTGGCGGGCACCACAGAAACAGAGTTTGTCTGCCCTGCCACGTGCTAGCAAGCTATCACCATGATTAGGACACTCTCTTCTTCCACCATATATGAAATACTGCCATGAATGAAAATATGAAGGGGATGAGAATAAATGAAAAATCAGCCGGCGTAATATTAGTTCCACAAGGAACAGGAACACCGTAATAAACAAGGCACTCACTACCTGGAACGGGCGTGCACACACACAAAATCCCAAAGGTTAACAGAGATGGCGGCGGGGCTGGGGGTGGGGTGGGGTGAGGCTAGGGGTGGGTGGCAAGAAATCGGACACGCTTTGCTAAAGGCATGTGGAGAAATTCTTAGGTTGCCTCTAGGCTCCTTAAGGAGAACATGCCAAAGGAAAATGCAAACAAAAGCTATTAGGAGGGGCTTCCCTGGTGGCACAGTGGTTGGGAGTCCGCCTGCCGATGCAGGGGACGCGGGTTCGTGCCCCGGTCCAGGAGGATCCCACATGCCGTGGAGCAGCTGGGCCCATGAGCCATGGCCGCTGGGCCTGCGCTCCGCAGCGGGAGAGGCCACAGCAGTGAGAGGCCCGCGTACCGCAAAAAAACAAAAAAAAAAAAAGCTATTAGGAGACTACCACAAAGGCAGAGGCCCAACTTTACATTTTAAGATGTTTTAAAATGTGTATGTGAAGTACACTGTGTTTGAATCTGTTCAAACAGATTCTGACTCAGCAGGGCAGGGGTGAGACCTGGGATTTCTAACATGCTCCCAGGTGATGTTTGGGACCAAACTTTGAGTAGCAATGACCTAAAACAGGATGCAAACACCTCTACATAGGAGGTGGGGCAGAAGGTCCTGACGGCCAAGGGAAAAAGTAGGAAACTTTGTGGGCAGTGAACGAATCAAACGCCCACCCTCACTGACTCCACAGCTATTAACAAGCACCGACAGCCCAAGCCCACGGTGGGCCCCCCAATCAAAGTAAGACATTTAGGAGTTTCTAACTACCCTTCCCCCGACCTACGCCTTTATTAACGACCCACCACCATATCCCTCCAGAAACGCACCTATTCCTTTGGAAGTGAGCCCTAAAATTCAACCCAGCAGCGACCAAAGGAATTCTAAGAAACCATACTGAATAATTTCCCCCAATAATAATCCAAACATAAAGGTGACCATCCCTCTTATCCTTAACCACCTTCCCTGGAATCCCCAACCTCTACTGAGAAGAAACTCACATCCGCAAAAGCACACCTAAAAAGGGCCAGAGTCCCAATTTAGGGCCCTCTCCCACAGGCAACTCCCAGGCCATCCATGAGGCCCCTGCAGCTGACTTCCTCACACGACCACGGTTCTCAGTAGACCTCTGCCTGCTCCTACAGACCCAGCCCTGACCCAACCCCCAGACTCTCCCACTCATACAAACACACGCTCCGGCACGCCTGCCCACCTTGGTAGAACATGTCCTTCCCTGGGACACCACCCGACAGACCCTCCTTTTGGGCCTTCAGGTCTTTAGCTTTTTCAATAAAACTTGTTTCCAGAGTTCTAAGGTTTGAGGTTGAGTATTAAAGATGGATTGAGGGACTTTCCTGGTGGCACAGTGGTTAAGAATCCACCTGCCAATGCAGGAGACACGGGTTTGAGCTCTGGTCCGGGAAGATCCCACATGCCGTGGAGCAACGAAGCCCGTGCGCCACAACTACTGAGCCTGCGCTCTAGAGCCCATGAGCCGCAACTACTGAGCCCACGTGCCACAACTAATGAAGCCCATGCACCTAGAGCCTGTGCTCCACAACAAGAGAAGTCACCGCAATGAGAAGCCCACACACCGCAACGAAGAGTAGCCCCCGCTCGTCACAACTAGAGAAAGCCCACGCGTAGCAACGAAGACTCAACACAGCCAAAAATTAATTAATTAAAAAAAACAAAAAAGATGGATTGGACTGGGGAATGGTTCTGGAAGGAGGCGGTGAAAGGGACAAAAGAGAGGAAGAGACAGAAGACAAGAAGCAAAGACGAGAGGCTGTGAGAAACCTCATCTTCAGGTCACTCACACCCTCATCTGCCCACCCAAATCCCACCCAAGGCAGCTCCTCAGGATACACACATGTCCTGAAATAACCACCTCACCAAATTTTAAAATATGTGCCCTTTTGGAGGTAAACTCCTTTCTCCTTCTTATCCCATGCTCCTAGGTATCCACGAGAAGAAAGTTACTTCTGAAGCCAGATTCCCTAGAAATGCCAACACCTCTTCTTTTTGACTTTCAGAGATATCTCTGCAGTGTGACCATCTTCTCAAGAAAGAAGCCTCACAGAATTCTCAGATGAGACTTTTAGCTCCCATTCTACCTTCCCACTCCCACTGAAGAACAAACCAGCAAAGGGAAAGAACCCCTCACAAGGAGACAGCCTATGTACCTAGGGATGTACACGTCGGGAATCCTAATCCTGAAAAATCTGAATCTCTTCCCATTTTGGAATCCACCCCCCACCCCCACTTCCCAGACCACTTTCTACCAATCCCCTAGAATCCCGCCCAGACTGAGCAGCCCAGCAGCTCGAGCGCCACTCCCCAGCCCGTCCACAGCGGCCGTGATCCTACTCACATTCAGCACATCCTGCCTGGGCTGTGGGGGCTCAATGCACGTCAGGAGCCTGAGCAACAAGTCCATGATGGCCGATGTTCCTATGTGCTTCATAATAAGGTCCACAAAGTCACGTTTCTTCTTTAGGAAATCCACAATCTAGAGGAGAACAGCCACAACTGAAAGACACATCACTTGGGAACTATCAACTTTAGGATGCTTTCAGTCATGACCCATCTAGCTGCCCCTTCCGAAATCCACCACCACTTTAAGTTAAGGAATAGCAAATGCTGAATTAGTAGTAAGATGTCAAATTGGAAAGCCTTCTAATTGTTACAGTATTCAAAAACCTCTTGCGGAAAAAAATCTCTTAAATTATCACATGTTCCCTAATACAAACACACCATAATCTTTTATTTCTGTTCACTTTCATTATTAATTCTCAAAGAATGAGGACTAAAAATTTAACACCCTATAAAGAGCAAGCAAATACACCACTTAATAGTTTATGGACATAAAGCAAGTCCATTAGGCTTTACATGAAAACACAGAATAAACATTCAAAATCCTACCTGTACTCTAGCAAGTAAGAAAAACAAAAAAACATAAAGATTTCTACATCAAAGTGGCTAACTCATGCGCCACAGAAAATCACATTTGCATTTTATGTCAGCAATTCACCTGATCAAATTAACACAAGGAGGGTGAGTGAGTGTGGAAGAGGCTGACAGTTACCCCGAGGAGTTATGAAAACAGTCATACAGTCATGACCGCCACCTGGGTCTCTCCTGCGCAGGTGGAAGAAGGCACCTGTTCTGTCCTGGACACCCTTGCGTACTTTCTGGTTTCTGTCCGTGTGCACAAATCACCTGTTCTAAAGTCCCAGAAGCAGCACAATCAGCGTGGCAGCTGCCCTGACAAAAGTCTCACCGGAGTCTCTCAGAAGCCTGTGCGACAGGGTTGCTCAACTCAGTGTTACAGATGAGGAAACTGAGGCTCAGACCAGTGAAATATCTTGCTAGAAGCTAAAAAGTGGATGCCCTGAGATTTAAATGCCCCCAAAGCCACAAGTCTGCCATTATCCCACACAACGTCTAACAGCCAGGGATGAACTAAAAACTGCCTCACACCATCGGGTGTAAATGCAGGATTAACCATCACATGTTGCTTCTCTAGACAATGAGGTTGAACTCTGTAACATAAACCTTCAAGAAGTTATACATAATTTAATCCACTCACAACTGAGTCACATGGGAGTTTTAAAAGCACAGTGGAGAAGAGAGGCAGAAAAAGTCAAATGTGGCCAAAATACTGCATTATTTAGTGGCAAAAGCACTGACTCTGGAGCCCAAAGGCACAAGTCCCAGCCAGTGCCGTGGTGGCACAGCAGGGACAGCAAGCTGGAGGACCGCACTGCTGGCGGGCCCGCCCATCCAACACTGACGATGCTTCACGCAGCTGGACCTCCCGCTCCACGAGTTAATGAATGTCTGTACTGGTTAGGTCAGACTGAGTCTGAATTTTTTTCATTACTTGCAGTTGCATATATCCTTACTAATACATTATGTGATGGGAAACCTTTATTTACACTCAAAATTCTCAAAAGGATAGAAAGGTGCAGTGTGACCTTTCCCTGAAGCTGAAAGAGCAAGGGCTCTCAAATCCTCTCGTGGCTGAGGGCTTAAATGAGAAGCCCGACGAGCAGCAGAGCGAATGGGCCCTCCTCTCGGCATTTAATTGGCACGTGCCATGTTCCTTACACAGGTAATATGTCTGGCCTCGAAGACCAATGCAAATATGTAGAACACCAGAGAGCTTTAAGTGTATTCTCACTCTTTAATAAAGGTGCACTGAAATCCAGGACCCACAAATTTGGGTTTCCCTAGAACAGAGTGAGGAGAAAAGCATGATGAAGGTGTGAGCCCTGTCTCAATTGTGACTACAACCATCTGGAACTGACTAGGTACCTTAGACTGATGGGATGGCTTGCACTTTCCTAAAACAGTCAGTAGTACTGTCACTTCTCATCAAAAGACAGAAGAAGGAACGACAATCTGTATTGCAGTGATCATGATTTAGGGATTACTATCTAAGGAAAAAGAACCTCAATTCCAATACACTTAGGAAGGTAATCCTGCTCAATTAAGAACATGAAAGAACAGCCTCGTCTAAAATAAGACATGTATCCACTTTGCCTTGGCAAAGGACAGACGTACTGGGCCTAAAATAGTTCCAGTCCCTCCATGTTTGCTGACAGCAAGGACGGGTCAAGGAGCCGGTTTTCCACCACGAAGGATGCCAGGCCCAACTGGTGTGAGCCCTGCACCCCTGTCATCACACCCCTGCTGGCTGCACTCTGCAGGACTGCTAGTTTGCACTCAGGCATCTGAGGCTATTGTTGCTCCCTGGGTGCCTGTTTCCATAAGTGGGTCACAGCCTCCTCGTAAGCAGGTCCTTTTCCACACCAGTTCCCACTAGAGCAGTGATTCTCAAACTTCAGCGTACACCATGGTCATCTGGGAGGCTTCTTAAATCCCAAATTGCTGGCCCCACCCCCAGAGGGTCTGATTCAGTACGTCTGGAATGGGCCTCAAGATCTTGCTTTTCTAACAAGTTCTCGGGTGGTCCTCATGCTGTTGGACCAGGGACCACACTTTTGAGAACCACTACACATCCGACAGATACTTGGAAAGTAAGTTTCCCAAGTACAGTACATCTGAATTAAGAACAAAATGAAGCGTGGGGGGGCGGGGGGCAGGATGTGGGAACATAGATGGACAACACCACGAAGAAGATGACCACGATAATGAAGGAAGAGGAGGAAGAGGGGGGAGAGGTTCCTGGCGTTAACAGTGAGGAATGAGCTCCTGCTAAGCCCTACCGGACAGGAACAGCAGAGCTCCATGTGTACGCGCATGACAGTCAGTACCCAGATGGCTCAAGTTTTTGAGTGGAGTCAAAACAGAAACAATCACCATTTGTAAAAACTAACCATCAACTGCATTTATGGGAAAGCTTTTTAAGTTTCACCTGTGATCATCCTTAGGGGAAAGAAAAAATAAGTAAACTGTTACTTTACCATAGTGACTAAGATGCCACCCACACACCAAGCACTCAGCGTGCACCCTCCTCACACTATGCTCACAAACGGACCCCAACATTCTCATGCTTCCAACCACTTGTCAAAAGAGGAAGCCAAAGTATACTGAAAAACTGAGATGTGAGGTACTCAGAAAAGAAGAGGTCAAATTAGAATGTATTCATTAATGAGTAAGTCAGTGTTAAGTCAGCAAGCATTTAGAATGCTTAAGGTTTAAAATATATCCTTTTACAGAACCTGGATTTAAGGCACACTCAGAACACTGAAGCAACAAAATTACTGGGGGATCATCTCAGGGGGATGATCAGCCCTAATACTTACCTTTTTGGAAAACAATATTTACCTGTTCTGGTTTTCTGCTGATAAGAATACTTAGCACCTTGCTGAAGAAACTGGCAAGTAGTGGGTTCAAGGGGGAATCGTTTAGGAGGAAGCTATACAATTTCATTAGCAAGGATTCATCTTCTCCCAGTCTATCATTCATCTGGGAGACATCAGAAGTGAGCAACTCACAAGATATATTTGGATACCTAGGAGAACAGGACACTTATATCATCATCTGTATTAACAGTTCAATTACATAAAGTAACATGCAAATCAGAAAGGTTTCCTAAAACTCTGTGAAAAATAAACAAAGTCATCTTCTGGGAATTAGAAAATAATTTCAATCCATTCCGTTCAATTTAATCTAGAGAGATTATAGAGTGAATTTTCTTCTGTGTCTAAAAAATGGTTTCTAAACCAAGCTTTAACCCAACAAAACTAGAGCACACCTGGGACTCAGGAGGCAAGGGCGGGGCCTCCTCAGAGGAGGAGGCACGATGGGGCAGGTCAAAGCCTGGGGCCCGCAGCCCTCAGCAGCCTGCTCTGGTATGCAAAGCAGCACAGCTCATAGGACAACCGCGGGGGACGCCCATTTCCAGGAAACTGCACTGCACACAGCACCCTTAACTATTCAAGACACACTCAGGTTCCTGGACAGGCTGCCTGTATTCTCAGATGGGTTGTAACTGGAGTTAGAAAGCTGGGCTTATCAAGAGTTCAGTCCATATGACATGTTAAGAGAATAAATATTCTGATATACTCAGGAGAGATCAGGACACCGCCTGAGTTACCCAGGTGGGAAAACCGTATACAGAGCTCTCCACACCAGTCTTCCAGGATCTTCTGGGATCAGCCCACCATCAGATCTCACTGCTGTGGGACACAGTCCTCTTCCACAGGCCCCACGGCCCTAGAAATACCTGTACCCCTAAAGCACGTTTGCCCCTGAGCGCAAGAGCACTCTCTGAAAAGTAGGCAGTAGATGCATTTTCTCCACTCACTTCTTTTACCACAAATGACTTCTCATCTGTTCTCAGAGCAACAGTGGAGACTCCAAGGCCCATCCAGACTACACCCTCCCTGCTCTTTATCCCTCCCAAGCTCAAATGCTGATCAGGACAGGGAGGTGACAAAACAGCTAGAAGCAGCTATATGGCAAAAGAGAGGGGTAAAGGGTGTGGTCGGAAGCCATGCAGCACCCCTGAGGCATCCAAGCAGCTGCCTGTTTGGAGACCACAGGCTTGAGAAGCAACTGGCAACAGACCAGAAGCTGCAGCACCTAGCAGCTCTGCCATGAGGGAGGAACACTGAACCGTATGAGAATATCCCCAAAGATCACATTAGCAAATCGTTGTCTTCCGGAGGCTTTGGCTCGATCAAATTAAAGCCTTCCTCACTTTATAGAACACATGGGCTCAAAGACCCCATAATACAAAGTCACCAAAGTGCCGGAGGCAGGAGCAAGCAATGGCGACAGGTGTGGCTTCTGGAGTCACACCACCTAGGCTCAGAACCTGTCTCCACCACTTACAAGCTGTATGACCTCAGGCACGTTACTTACCTTCTCTGGGCCTCAGTTTCCAAGGATGCAATATTAAGACAACAGTCCTTACCTCACAGGGGAGAATAATACATACAAAATACCGAGAAGGAGGCCTGGAATAAATAAATACTAGCTGTCTTAATTCCCCTTTTTCTTCTACTTCATAAAACTGCCCGAATGCTGCAACGGGGCTGGGGTTGCGGGGGTGGTGGCGGAGTCAGCCCAACTGCCCCAATTTGGAAGCTGCTGGCAAAGGGCCGCGAAAAGCTGGAGACGCCAGCTCCAGCCACAGCCCAGTGTGTAGGGAGTAGTCTCAGAATTCTGATGCAGAAGGTCCAGAAGAACGCGTGGGCAGCTTTTAAAATTTTCACCTGTTTCTCCACCGGTGACCTGGAGGTCTGACTGAGCTAAAGAAGCACGCATGTGGGGGCCCAGGCACAAACACAAAGCCTCAAAGTTCTGGTTCAGAACAGGCTGGGGCTACTCTCTCTCTCCCTCCCTACCTCCCTAAGATTAAACAAGCTTCGGAAACACCCCAAGACCTCCTCTACGCCACCCCTCAGCAAGGCCTCTCCAGCCCCACCCCACTCTCTGACCTCAGCTGCACAGAAGCGATAGGAAGAGAGTCCAGCCCAACCGTACCCCTGACCTGCAGCCGGTCCCCTTCCTCCTCCCACTATGAAGCCACCCTACTGTCCTCTCGACCGAGGCCAGCACAGAGCATCACGAGACCTCCCGCTCCCTCCACACCAGCCCAGTTTCCCCCTGCGCTGCATCACCCTCACCAGTGCATACACACACCGTTATTTCTCACATCTATGAAAAAAAAACAAACACCACACCTCTCCTGGCTCCACATCTGCCTGTAGCTCCCACTTTCTCTCTCTGCTCCTTTTCCAGGGAACTACTTGAAAGAACTCTCTGCTTTGTCTCCAGTTTTTCCTCAGAGGCACTGCAGCCTGGCTTCCGTGTCCACCAACCTGGAGAACCTGCACTGAAGGGGCCCATGTGCTCCACGCTGTAAATGCCAATGGTTACCTGGCCTGTCAGCACAGCCCCTGGATCCCCTGGGCCCCCTGTCCCATCTCCCCGTCCTGAAGCCTGGCCTCCCCTGACATTGAGGGAAGCACCCCTCCGGGTTCTCCTCTTGCCTCTGAAGTCCCTCTGTGGGAACCCTGACCCGACCAACAGCATCTCAGCTTTTGGGTTTACACTACTACTTAAGGACCTATTTTTAAAGTTCTGTTCAAATTTCTGCTAAATTATTTAAAACTGAGGTATCTGTCATTAAGACTAAAAAGTCAGTGTAAAAATGACAAACCTTTAACACCTTGTGTATGATCACTGGATTAAAAGTGATGGGTTCAATCCACATGTGTAACTGATACGCAGTTACGAACTTCGCAAACCACAGCAATCACCCCACCATCCGTAAACTAAAAAGCACTAGTCTAAATTTCCTTAGATGACTACAGTCAACCTTAACCCAGAGAAGCTTTCAGATTCCCTCTGAAAGATCGTTCTGTGCTAATCCAGCTGTCCGAGTTATCCGGCTCTGTGTGTGTTACCACAGCTGGTGGCTCTGTCCAGGCCAGGAGTGCAGCAGAGAACCGCTCTGCTCAACTCAAGCCATGCTCCCTCGAAATGGTGCCAACCAGAAGGCTGCATGCCCAGGGAAACACACCTGCTCTCTCAACCTCAAAGGTAGCACAAAAAACGCTGGCATGGCAATACAACAGATGCCATGACTACTTTTTGGTAAAATAAGCAATTTCCACAAGGCTTGCTTACTCTTCTCCAGTTAAAGAAGTATTAGCTTCATTCAGCATGTGAGAAAACAGATCCAAGAAGGGTAAGCCTCTTGTTCAAGTTCTCAGAGCTCCTAGGAGAGGGCTACACCCATCCCGGGTGGGCCTGATACCAAGCCCACACCACGCTGCCTCCAGCCAGGATAAGCCCCACGACAAACAGCATCCACACATGCTGGTTCACTGTGAAGGGAATTCCAAAGTAGCAAAGTATCTATCTTTGGGGCGAAAGGAGTACACTGGTATTCCTGTCAAATTTCTGTCCTTTTCTTTTCTGAGGTACTGCTCTCTGAGTGGAGACGTGCTTGCATGCTAGTTGTCAAACCTTAATGGCTGGCAGAGAACATGACTTCCTTGAAGATCCAGGCCATGAGAACTTGGAAGCATTACTAAGTATTATTCCTCTGACAGCAAAACTCTCCCCACAAAGAAATGAAAGGATATCTGAAAAGGGGAACAGACTGGGGGAAAAAGGGCAAAGGAGAATCTACTGTAGGCCATAATTCTTCCTATTCCATTAAGTTTATTTAATGCTTAATCAATGACTTTTTGTTTTGTTCCTGAATTGGTTCTATTTTCAGGCAGAGAGGGGGGGACAAATATTTCAATAGGGTTGGAGATGGAAAAGTAACTAACTGAAACCCCAACACTTTAAATACATATGGAATATTCGCAGAGTTTCCAGGGATCCGAATACAAAGTGTTATAAGCTGACGACACCAGTGGTGAAGTAGATAAATCCACTGCAGTTATCCAAGGTGTTAGCTGCTTAAATTTAGCTACAGTAATGTTGACCAAGACCCATACCCGTATTTTCAGTTAACAAAAGGTCAGAATTTATTTAATCAGCAGCGCTGTTCATAAAACAAGCTCTGGCCCAGATGTGCTGTGTGATCTTGAGTAGTCACATCATCTCTGTCTTCCTATTTGCAAAAAAGAGAAAATACTTACTTGGATTGTCTTAGTATTTTAGGAAACTTTATCACTGTTTATAATGCACCTTGCCCTTAGACAAAACCTTCTGGCCAAAATTTAGAACGTTCACTTTAAAAATCCTGTGATTTCACTGGACTTTGTTCTAGAACGGATTGTTTGCTCCACTGAGCCTGTTGCTCTTGACATGTTAACATTCTGTAACTGGTCTACGGCAGCCCTGCAGAGCTGCTAGACAACAAGGACGATAATATACCCTACCCCCGCTTCACTTCAGCCCCACCCTAAAGAGAAGACTGAATTTTCTTACTTGTATCTGATCTTTTCATCCATGTCTTGAGGTGGTTCTTCAATAATGAATGAGACTAAATCTTCGAGACATTCTGCTTTTAACAGGAACTCTATAAGTTTGCGGTTCTGAGCTTTACATTCTTGTAAAACATCTTCCTCATCCATCAACTCCTTCAGTGTTACATCTTCTCTTTCTAGAAGTGTGTCTATGTGGGATGATGAGTGAAGATCAAATTTCCAAAACATGCTGCTCTAAACAAAATGCAGAGAGTATTTCAAATACAATTTCAACTTCACATATTAATTTTTCAAGTTTCCATCTAGTTTTACAGTCTAAAATGTCAACTTGGGTCACATAAGAAAAACAAGTTTCATATCGAATCTATAAAATGCTTTCTAAATAAGTAAAACTGGCAAGATTTTTTCCTTCTCAGAAAATATTTTTATTGATAACAAAAAATTTTGACTTGAAAATGCTGAAAGAATGATAAAACCTGGGATGATTTTAACCTGCAAAATTAACCCACCCATACTTTAAGAATTTAGTGCTGGGAAAGGAAGAAAATAAACCCTTTCTTCAGGGTGAAACGTACATTCTTACACAGAACTAGTATCTTCAGTAACAAATGACAAGTATCGAGACCTAAGTACATGGTACTCGTCAGAATATTACATTAAATAAATAACCACCACGAACCAGAACTTTTAGCCACTGACAGCACTTTCACAGCTGAAAATCTGAAAGCCATAAAATGGCAAAACCTATGCCATTCTTAACAAAGAAACAAAAAACTGTAGCAAGATCACCTTAAACAACAATCATTCACCTTGTCTTCAAAGTTGATCACGGAAAATTCGATCCTAGGATGTCTACAGACAAAAGAGTTCACTGTCCTTATTTTAAATACTTCAGCAAAGTCACTGACTGAAAAGCCATTAGTGACATTCAAATACCTTCCCACGTCCCACTGGTATCAGGTCAGTATGTGCTTATTTTGGTCTATAAGCCGAATTTCTGCTAATCTAATGGTCTCTCCACTTGAAGTCAGAAAACTGGACACAGTTAACAATTTAGCCTTAAGTCTTCAAAAAAAAAAAAATAGGTCTCATTTAAAGTAGCATGTCTTTTCATTTTTTTGTAATCCCACACATAAAGGCAAAGTATAATGAAAAGTACTAATAAACCACAAAAGCAAATCTCATATCAAGCCCTTACTACTGGCTAGTTATAAACAAGATATACACTCATATTCATCAACTGAAAACTATAAACATCTACAAACCAAAGTCATACTTCTAAAATATGGATCAAGATATAATCACATTATCTACCTCAATTAAAAACTGACTTCCAAAATTTTAACCTTATAAAGGTAACTCATCATATACTGATTTACAGAGAAAACTGATAATTGGTGGTGATGAAATAACAAGTGTTGGCAAACTTTGGCCCACAGACCAAATCCAGCCCACAGACTGCAAGCTAAGAATGGCTTTGATAATTTTAAAGGGTTGTTTAAGAGAAGCATATGTGACAGTGACCATGGGCGGCCTGCATATTTACTATCTGGTACTTTACAGAAAAAGTTTAGCATCCCTTGCTCAAGAGGAAATAGAGTGCTGACTAACACATTCCTTTCTGCCATCTCTGAACCCACACGGGCATGTCCCCCACGGTCCTCACAGCCTGCCCGGAGGGGAGGAGCCATGTGGTGTCAGGCGGGACTGTCTACCAGATCCATTCTCTCCCTTCCTTAGGCACTCACCTAGACCACGTCCCCAACTTCTCAGGCAGGTAGATATGGCCACATTACAAAGTTTTCTCCAATGTACTGTGAGCCATAAAAACCTCCATGTGCTCCCCCCGGCATCTGGCTGGATGTTGATGACAAAAAAGGCCCTAAGGGACTGCAGAGCCCAAAAGGAAGGTGCCTGCACCCCCAAATCACCATGAGGAAGATCGCTGCCTGCCGATCTGAGAGCCTGTCCTAGGCCGGGTTACGATGAGCCATCATACACATCTGGTCTGTATTCCAGCAGGATGGCCGACCTGACCGACCAGCTCCTCCAAACTCCTGAGCGCACGACATCGTGTGTTATTATACTTATTTTATTATACACAAGAAAAGGAATTCTTGAGCAACTATCTGTTTTAAAATGCCTAACTCCTTTTGCTTTCCACTATCCTAAATTAGAATAGCATTTTTCAAATCAGAACACCTTAAAATATACATTTCCACAGTGCATTTTCTTTAAATTGGGTAGGTATACTACCGACTTAAAAATAAAATATAACCACAGTAGACTCTTAAACATTATGTATTCTATCTTTTAATCAAACAGCAAATTGACTGGAAATGAACAGCACTGGTAAATTAGTTACCCCTGGCTTGGCCCTACTTCTATTTGTGCCCTCTGAAGTAAAATCAAGCTAGGTATGAACTAACTGTTACAAAGTTCAACTGCCCAGGGCCCTGAGGTAAATGGAGTCCTTTAAAAAATGTAACTAAGATACTCTGAAGAAACTGAAAAAAGTCAGAACTTCAACAGCTCACTTTTAGTAAACATAAATACACATTAAAATTCTTAACCTAGGTATACTTCAACAGGATTTAGCGATAAGAGGGAATACAATTTCTTACAGTAAACCAATTCACAGGCTTTTAAATCAATATTGACAAAGAGAGAAATGGTAAAAGCAAACTACCCTCCATCTTTCTGCAAAATCCTAGAATTGTTTTATAAGTTGAATGCGGTACCTTGAAAATAGGGTTTTCTCCACAAGGGCTGAAGAGTATGTGGGCAGGAGCTGCCGCAGAGCACAACCTCTGCTATGCTCCGCCTTCCTCATAACTGAAGACACAAGTGAAAATTATCACCATATATGCATAAAATAGGACCAAAGGATCCATAAATCTACTCGTCATAGATCAACTGCTTTAATTAAGGGTCCTGTGAAATTAATAAAATATCATCCTTCTTGGAAGCAAAACCTGGGCCACAGTACCTTTATTTCAAAAGCAGTTAAGCAGTGACACTTTGTTTCTGAAACAAAAGGTGCTACCTTGTCTCTATGACACGGGACCTTGTATGGTGATGTGGTTCAATCACGTGCAAGAGGTTTGAGAAGGACGTCAGTCCCTCTGCAGAATCTGCCAAGGCTCTGCTGGTAGAGTATATTGAACAGGGCCCAACTGTGGTTTATGTAAACCACCTACAACCACTTGCTTTCCATCAAATAAACATCATTTTCTCCTCAAACCTTGTTAGGACTCTTAAGCATCTCAACATACTGGATTCCAATGCTGGCTCCACAACTGCCTGACACTGAGGCCTCAGGAAAACCACTTCACCTCTCTAAGCCCCAATATCCTCAAACAAGTAAAATGGCTGTGAGTAGATGAGAAAGGCCCGGTCTGGTGGCTGAGACATACTGGCACTCAGCACCTGGAAGCTTCTGTGTAATCAACATACCACCCCCTTGAAGTCAAGTGAGCTTTAAACCAATGCTACCGAACTTCCATGGGGTCTTATTAAAACACAGTCTCAGATTCTGATTCAGGAAAGCAGGGATCAGGCCCGAGAATCTGCACCTCTAGCAAGTCCTCAGATGCTGCTGCTGTCCTGGGTTTAAACCATTGCTGATCATTTGTAATAAACTGCAATAAGTATATTCAAAATAATCATGTAACCATGAGAAACAGAGGAAAAGCCTACTATACCAACACGTGACTGTTATTTATTTCAGAAACTCCCTGTGGACAAGCTGGTATTAGTGGGTTTTCCTTCAACATAACAGAAGCAACACACAACACTTTCCAACAGAGGCCAGAAAAAATGACACCATGAACACACTAAAACGTAAACTATTAAAGAGCTTTGGAGAGAGAAACTGCTGATGGTCCTGCCTACAAATGAGAAGGAAACTGTGGAAATGACAAAGAAGAACTTTAATGAGTTTAAAATACAAAATCCCCTATTCATATGTACTAACTGCCTAATTTTGGCAATTTTCTATCCAAGTGGGGTAAACTGCACTCTGTAAAGCCCAAGTCTGTGAACTGCTATCAATGGTAGAAACCCTGTACCCAGGAATGGCCAGCCCAGGGCACAAGGTTCAAAGGTTCATAAAGAGATGCAAAGATTATGAAGAATCTCAAGACAGCAATGTTGAGCCTGAAAGCTAACACTTCTGGGTGTGGGCCCTGTGGGACTACAGGCCGCACACCCGCGAAGCCAGCCTCTGGTATGCCATTCCATAACTGGCCCACTTCAATCCCCAAGATCCCATACCCTAAATACTTCCTCGCATGCTCCAGTCTTGCAACAAACACGCACAACATACATCCAGTTTAGATAGCTGCAGTCACCTAAAGTAAGAAGTACAACCTACACAAACATGAGAAGTAGCTGCATCCACCTAAGATAACACAGGGGAAAGACTTTAAGACAACAAAATGTGTTACAGATTTTTAATACTATTTCTTTTAGATGTGCTATGAAGGGAATAGTTATAATAGAAATTTTTTCTGGGTCTTATACAAAGGCACGTAAGCACATGCTACCCAAGTTCAAATCCGTACACACCTCAGTCTGCCTGCAGCACTCTCTAGAGGCCCCGGCCCTCAGCACTACGAGAAACGCAACACCTCCACTGTCACCCGAGCTGGTGCTAACAGAAACATCACTCAAGCCACAATGTGAGCCACATGTAAGCTTAAATTTTCTAGCAGCCACACCAAAAAGTAAAAAAGAAACTGGTAAAATTAATTTTAAATGTATTTATTTAACCTCATATAGCTAAACATTATTATTTCAACATGTAATTCTTTTGGTACTAAGTCTTCAAAATATGGGTGTTTTGAAACTTCACAGCACATCGCAATTTGGACCAGCCACATTTCCGCTGCTTAAGAGTCACATGTGGCCATTCGGGACAAGACAGCTCAAATTGTATGATTGCTACAATTATGATTCAAAGTTTCTCTCCTGGTACTAAAATATCTTCCCCATCTCCTTCCACAGCCAAAGTCAATAGTTACCCACCTTTTCCACACAAGGGCCAATGTGGGATGGGTGGGGAGAGGCTATGGGCCACGGTCTTCCTTTCTTTTAAAATATAAACATACCTGGGAAATCATGTTTATTCTCATATATATATATACACATATAAAAGAAACAACTTGGACATTCTTAACTCAAACAAGTAGGTCACAAGAAAACGAGAACTGTTTTTTAGCCTCTAATTTCTA